GGTGGACGCGACGCATCCAGCCTTCTCTTCTACTTCCCAGTTTCGCACGCGATGGCGAACGCTATGGCCCAACTTCACTGCTAAGGTTGCATGCAGGATGATGTTTTCCTAGGTTGGATGCGACGCATCCAACCCTTCTTCCTCTGGCTAAACCACCTTTTCTTCATATTTTGCACTCCGAACACCTTAAATCGTCACACATAACTTAATTAGTCATCAAACTAATAATTACACCATGTTGGGCATTTTAAAGATTAAATAACATCAAGAAGTGGTTAAAACATGGGCAAAGTAACATCAACACATATCGAAATATGCCAAACATCAGCAGGTGTAGAAACTTTAGGGCGTCAAATGAATGCGTTGAGTAGAGTTACAATTAATTGAGTTAATATACAGATATTCCTAATACATTCCGTCCAAAGTTTGGCAAGATCAAAATGAGTTATAAGTTAAAATACATACTAGCAGGTCTGAACCAACCCCGCAACACAAAACTTTGTTTTTTTCTGTTCGTATTTTTAGGTATCTGCTATGTAATTTTTATGAGGATTCATATCGCTTATCACAACTTCTTTTGTGAAAGAGGCATAGTTGTTGTTATACATAAGTATAATTAAGATTTATCTTTGGAGGAATCTGTACAATTTATCTTCTGGATTGTGTTTTCCTTTGGAGGAATTTATCTTTTGTGGATATTGTATTAATTCTAAATTTCCTCCAAAGGAAAACACAGCCAATTATATGAGTACCTTGCTTTAAAAATTCATCCTCTTAAAATTGTTCTAAAATAGATTGTCCTACTGTAAGGACAATTCTCATTCTATTTAAGTAGTATATTCTTCATTTACGCTACCATGTGTAGAATGTGTCCCCTTTATCATAAGTACAAAAAGTTCGTTCTAACATTATTAATTACTAGCTAGTAGGCAGTAGCTACTATAATCATAGAGGTTGACATATATTAGCCTTATTTCTTAAGCTCTCTTCATCCTTAAGTTTTCCAGCCATGTGATTTTTTTGTTCTTTCGTAGCTTAATGTAAATGTGAAGGAACAGTTCTAATAAACACTCCCAAGTTTAGACAGTTTGGTGTATTAACTTCTAATGGAATATTGTGTATCATAATCATGAAATAACAACCTGTTAGTTCATCGAAATTGACGGTGTGTTTTGGCACTTGGGTGGCTTACTAGTTACTTCTTAGAATACTTATTTGTTTTAGACTTTTAGTTAATAGTTCTGAGACGATATCAAGGTTCCTGATAATGGAATATATTTTTGGATAAACCATAATATTCCCAAATGTTCGAGTTTAAATTAAACATATAAGGTTTCTTTCTGTTGTTCATTTTACTCGATATATTGTAAAGTTTATATATTTTTAAAAAAAACAAGATAAAATATGAAGGGAGAAAAGATGAAATTAATTCTTAAATGGAAATTGTCATACAAGTCTATATGCTAGGGTCGTATCTAGGTAATATAAAAGTTTATATGCTATATTAATTTGTCATTCTCAAAGGGTCTGTTTTTCGTACCTACCCGTTTGATTTTCAAAGAAATGCTTAAAACCCTAGGTACTTGAGTCATGTTTGATAACATATGGAGTACTACAGAGTTGCATAATTAGTATATGGAATAGAGATAATGGGAAATTGGGGAGGTAAACTTTGTATTTTTGTTCTTTTAAGGTTTTGAACAAAGTCTTCTTAGATGTGGAAGCGCCAAGTTATTAGGGAAAAAGTGGGCATAGCTCCGGAGTCCCCGGAGTTCCGTGGAAAACAAGTTTTGAAAATCGAGGTTGAGATGATTTGGAAAAGAGGAAAGACAAAGATGCCCATTAGGAGATGCTAATGATCGTTTATAAATATTTTATGTATTTAATGGTAAGTATGTAGAGAAATACAATAACTTACTTCTCGGCTAGTAACTAACTAATTATAATTTCTAAATATGTTGGATTGGGATAGATTTAATTGTAAATGTAAGCAAAAAAAGAGCAACTTGAGTGGTTAATTAATCTGGTTTCGTACACATATAATATTGTTCTATTAGAAGACAAGTTTTGGCACGAGATATCAAACCAACAAAAATGGTATCTTATCTTATTTGGAATGAAGTGCTCAATTTTTAAGATGTTACGGTAAGCAACAATTTCATTGTTGGTATAACAATAGGAGTAATATTATACTAAAGATATATAATTGCACCTAAAAACACCCTTAAGACTTTTAAATATCCAAGCTGAACCTTTTGGGAAGAATTGGCCATTAAAGTAATGAGACGTTTCAAGCTAACAGCTCAACGACTGCTGCTGTTTCCTTTAATAATTCCATTCACATTAGCACTTAAGTGAGTTGTACAAAATGTTAGACCCAAATTTATGTCACACATCAAATGATATTGACACAACTAACGACCACTAGGTGAAATTAATGCTCATGACAATGACTTGTTCAAATTCTTATGTTTTTCGTTCGTCTTGTACCGTTGTATGTCTACACTTAGGTACTTGTTTGGTACAATTATGATCATAAAATCATGATAATAACTTTGAGAAGTTGAATACAACTAATTATTGAAACAATTGTTGGGTTTCTTAGAGTAAAGGCATGAATGGAAAATGGAGCGAAAAGAAACGGAGGGAATGAAATTTTGAATTGGTTCTTTTTACAAAGTAACTTTGTTCTTTATTGGATAGGAAGAGAAAAATTCTTGTGCTTAGATACAGAAGCACTTCTTCTAGTTTTTAAAGAATTGAGAAAAGAGCAAACATCGTGTTTTCGCGCTAGGCTCGGCGCAAGTATTGATAAGTCAAAATCTGCAAACTCTCCCCAATCCCCTCTCTTATTTCGTTCCATCAAATTATTTTTGTTTCTGTTTATTGTACCAATGTTTTGTTGCATCTATGATTTTCTAATTTTGAACACAGTCGAATAGCAACAATTAACCACCATTTTTTCGTATAAATTGTGACTTATTGAGTAGAAAATTAATCTAACTAAGCTCAATACACTTATTAATTATAATATAAATAATGCAAAAAGGTTGCCTAAAAGAAAGTCTATAATGGACTAAACCAGCTACAACTAAGAGGTATATATGCAACTTAGCCAAATTAAAAGATTTTGATATCCTTGATTTCATAAACGGAATTTGGCGGTGTGCTTTCACTCATCACATGATCAGTTACAAACGTAATTTCCCATTATTACAAAAGACTTTTGAACTTTTTTGCCTGAAATTCAGTGAGACTATAGAACTTATCTCTATAAATATTAAGATTAAAGTGACTGATCTTCACTCTTCTATATCATAGAATAGAAAGTGAGGAGAAAGTTTGACCCTCATAACATTACCACATAAAGTTTAGAGTTTAGGCATTCAATGGCTCACTCATTTCAGGCCTTTCCTATTCTCATCCTTTATCTTCTTCTTCCATTCTCTAACACTGGTATATATACTTTCTTTGCCAACTGTGAACTTTCGTTTTCTCCCTTCAATTGCTTATGAGATGATCAAAATCAATATAATGGTCTAATTAATTAGCCTATTATAATTACCAACTTTTTTTCTCATTCTCTGCTTGTCATATATAGCTCCATGCTTGTAAATTTCAAATATCCGTCACCAAAATCAACTTATTTATTTCCATTTGAATAATAAAATACCATAAGTTGATCCTCATATATTAAGCTTTAATTAGTTCTTTATCTACAGGTGGAACTCTAAAACCAGTGAATGCACAAGCATCTGGACAGGTAACCTTCTCCGTTAATAATCAAATATTTAGTAGGAGTTTCGACAATATTTTTTTGAAACTGGAGGAGGGGAGAGCTGTTGAAGTTGAAGTAGGAAACAGAGTATTTACCTAGCTAGTGCGGAATTGAATTTGACGTGAAAAAAGAAAGTTTTGTGAGTGAAAATCATTATATATTTAACTTGAATACTCATGTAACAAGTTTTTCAACATTTTACAACTATTTCAAAGCTGAAGACCAGTATTTTACAAACACTATCAGCTAAACTTCAACTTGCAAGTAATTACATAACCTCAATATTTGCAAGTCATGGCCAAAGATTTTTGAAGTAAAATCTTATCCTATTGCTTTTGACCCAAAAAAAAAGAGAAAAATTATAGTGCAAGAGTAATAAGTTTAGAATGAATTATGCAGTGGTGCGTGCCAAGACCTTCAGCTACAGAAGCGCAACTGCAAGAGAGTATCCAGTTTGTGTGTGGTGAAAAAGGGTTGCCTGGCTGCTCTTTAATTCAAGCTAGTGGCTCCTGCTTTTACCCAAATACTACAATCAATCATGCCTCTGTTGTAATGAATTTGTGGTACCAGATAGAAGGAAGACAAACTGTCTCCTGTTGGTTCAAAAACACTGCTCTTATCACCATTACTGATCCAAGTAACTTGTTTTTCTTCTTCTTTTCAATTACTTCAAGAGTTTTTGCTCTTTACTTTTTTTTAATTTTTTCTTATCATATTTTGGTTTGCAGGCTATGGCGATTGCAAATTTGCGTTTGGTCAGTAGATGGAAGCCGAAGCAGCATTTGTGAAATTAATTATAGCAACATCGTCCCTTTTTGAACTGTTATTTACTTGTCTTGATATTTCCAACAATATCTTAAGGAGGTCGTCTTTACTTTTCCTACTTCTGTTTCCTTTTATTCGGTTTCTGAATATTTTCTTCACCTTTTCCAAAACATGAGGCCCAAGTATGAAAATTTTACAACGTTTTGACAGTTGAATCCTAAAATATGTGGAATTTGTAATTCATAAGAGCACTCTGTTTAGTTTTATGAATATAAGAGTAGAGAATGATCCATTATAGTCACTAATTATGGTCCTAAGGCATGCTCCACTTTATGTAACTCTGTAACATTCTCTTTTCACAACGATATACTAGTTAGCAAATAGATAATCCGAATGGATAGCCAAAAAATCAAGCACTCATATTCCAATTTCTTTCACATAAAATGGAGTATAGACGTCATTCTTTGCTGTTATTCTCCAGAAAAGGTACATAAAAAAAAGAACTAAAGGGCAAAGAGGGGGAAAACATCGTAATTTAATGGTAAAATGTCCTTTAGGAGTGGGTGTAAAATCAGAAACAAAGTAAAATAAGGATAAAATTTTGAAAAGATAAAAGTCAGAGGGCCTAATCATATCATCCAAATTTTAGGCCGAAGCAAATCCAAGGGACTAAATACTAAAGTGGTGTACTTTACAGCAAACCACTAGCAAAGTGGAGCAGCAGAAATGGCAAAGGCAGACCCAGACAGGATCATACTACCATAACACATAATCCCAATGTCTCATGATTCCCAACAGACAAAAGTAATAAAGATCACAGCATGCAAAGATTAAAATAAAAGGGCACTCAACACACTAAAGATTCTGCCATAACACGCTTGCATAAAGTGTAATCATCACCCCATTATCTATTAAACAAATCATTTCACTTAAACCATCAGAGTCATATTAAAACAATGGAACAAATAGCTCCAGTAGGTTAAAGTCTCAGAAAGTAGACATACTGGAGAATTATTCAAATACCATAATAAAGTTTGCAACTAGTGGAAACAGGCTAGAAAGAGAAATTAGATAAGAGCAGCTAGCTACTATAGCAGACTATGTTAAATAGACTTCTCGCCCTATCATCAGACGAAGGAGACCATATTCTGAGTTACCTTCCCTCCAAAGCAGCAACTGAGACAAAGGACCATATACTAAGCTACCTTCCCTCCAAAGGAGACACTGAACAATACCGGCGTAGTGATGAACACATAAGAAGTTCTCCACATAGGCAAAAGATGCAACTAAAGTTCATAACGACGTCTAGAAAGACTGAATTGGATGATGAGACTGTGATAAAGGAAGCAAAGTTACCCATAGCAGACAGGAGATCAAGCAAATGTCTTCAAATTTTCAATTCCAAGCTTCTGCACTTCCACCTTGAGTGACTTGAGGTATCTGACGGCTTCATCAAGAACGGTGACAGTATTCATCCTGCTGGCACCAGGGACAATTCCCTTTAATGCCTTGACCATCTTCTTAAGTTTCCGGCGTTTTTTCTCACTGCAATTGCTAGTACTGCCAGAGGACTTCCCCAAAGAAGAGGTCCTGCTCTTTTTGGATTGACAATCATAGTTAGAGTATGATTCAGGGGAACTGTTTCCATAGTTTGCATCGGTGCGTGCAGTGCTCACCTCTTCATCATCATATTCCTCATGTTCTTCCTCTTCAAAGCTGAGTAATGCATTTATATCGGCTGAATCTTCCTTCAGATACGAAGAAACTTCTGTATTCTCATTCTTTGCAACTTTTCTCTCCATGCCGTCTTGGAAGTAAGTGGCATTAAAATTCAAATCGGGATATGGAAACTTGGAAGCCATGGCAGGGTGGAACATGATCTGGCTTCGATAATCAGTCCGATCGAAGATGATGAAATTCTTTGGACATGCCTCAGAGGACTGAAATTCGAAACCATGAACAGGCACAGAAGGGTTGAAACCAGTAGGAAGTGCCATTGTACCAAAGACTGATGGAGAAGGAATATCGAATAGATTACCACCACCTGCTTGGTCTTCAGGAGAGAAAAAAGGCTTTTGAGGAGAAAATGGATAGTTACTCTGCATGAGTAACTATGACAAAAGAACAAAGTAAACTGGAATAGAAATGCGTTTTCCAATTGGAAAATCTTAAATATCAAAATGTCTAAGAGTTACAGAAGGCAAAGACGAAACAAAGAAAGGTATTCAAGCTGTATTCGCGTAGTAAAAATGCACTGACAGTGCCAATCAGCATTCAGTGCTTAACGAGGTCCTTCTGATTTCTAATACACTGAAGAAAACCAACCAATCCAGGCTTTTGCTGAATAAGAGCAACAAGAAGCAAGCAAATCCCAAACCTCCCCAAGCTTTCACTTGACCAGACTACGTTACAGGTTTAAGCAACTGACGGAAATATTCAGCCTGTAATTTAAAAGAAGCCAAAAACCAAATCATTCAGTGGCCACAAATTTGGAGTAGAAACTTCAAAAGTGAACCAAAATAAAATGAAACAAGGACACCTAGCAAATAATCCAAATTTTTCCCTTTTCTTGATATCAAATGGAACCACCACACAGAAGTGGATGGAGGGAGCATATATAGAAGGGATACAAAAGTTAAATCTCAATAAATTTCTGCGACGAGGTCACTGTATGGATCTCAATATACCTATGGAATATACAGAAATACAATACATTGAGGATGTACAATGTTCTGCAGTGTATCTCAGTGATCCAGTCAAAATTGGTAAAAAAAAAAAAGAGGCAATATCATTAAACTGAATAAACCAAGTCTTTATAAATCATGTGAGTAGGAGATCATGAACCCAGCGAAAATTACCAGTCAAAACAAACAGAACACCGAAACATGAAATAGCATCTATCTAGTTCTAGTTGATTTGGTTTCTCTCTCCTTTTAACATAAACATTGCAGGAGAGTGGATACCAATCTCAATCGAAAAGACTGAGAAGTTCAAGTTAAAAGAACAATTACCTGACAAACTAGCATCAATTGGCAATAAGCAACACTCCCTGCATGCATTTTAATCTCACCAGCTTCCTTGACTGCTCTGTATCTCTTCAAGGTAAATGCAATGTACATTCTCACCCTCCAAATGGACTTTAGTTTCAAGAAATATCACAAGATGGAAAATAGATATCTGCAATCTGTCATATCAAACAACCAAAAATTAGTTAAACATTAAGGAACTTCGGAAAATAAAAGAACAGCTTATTTTCTCACCATTGAAAGATAATAAGCACATCGCCAGAACTACACTAGAGGTGTACGGATTTTAATTTTTTTTTCTCTAATGCCATATCAACTCAAATTATCTTCCTCTATAATTTTTGAGTCGTAGTCAGTTTTCCTATATCCTTTATATTACTGTCCTCTTCAGTAAATCCTCAGCAGAAAATAGTTCAACCGAAATAATTACATATTTACAAATAAAACTTAGGACTTGAATGAAGAAGCAGATACAGAATTAGGAAGTAACAAGACGCTATATCTCACCAAGTAAAATCGGTTACAGAATCACGCGAAAGAATACCACCAAGCGCACACACTTCACACAATAACTCAAAGAAGAAAACGCCCACGGCATGTTGATCGGTCCAGCGTAGTATATTATAGTCTTCAATCCAAGCTACTGTCACAGTAGCAAGCACAGCTCCAAAAATCAAAATAAACCCACAAATAGCTCATCTTTAATGATAGATTTGAATCAAAAGTGAAAATCATACGAGAAAGAGAATCACTTAAGAAATTAACTAGAACATATAAGCTTCCTTCAAGAAGAAACTCATCAAATTAGAACGACAAGGAGAAGCTAATCTTTTTAAGACTAAGGCTAGCATAAAATTCCTTAATACCAATAAGTTTCTCAATTAACATGTTTATACCAATGAGACTCAACACTAAAAAAGCAAAGAAAACTAAAAAGACTAATTTCCACCAAACCACAAATACTAATAAAATCATTAAAATGATGCAATTGCTCAGGAAAGGAGGTCGGACCTGCATAAACACATACAAGGATCCGAACAAATTAATACACTTCACAAGAATCAGAAATTAAATAAGAGCATAACAGCACTAAAATCTAACACGAAAAACATAATGAATCTGAAACGCAAGAAGAAAACCTCAAAGTTTACCTTTTTTCCCTTCTTCAGTGACCCAACAAGAAGGTTAACCATAAAAAGCAGACAAAAAATACAAATACCAACATAACATCAAACATACAATAGTCCCAAAAAAAACACAATCTACATCAAATCAAGCAACAACAAAAACAAAATACACAAAACCCATCAAGACTAAAGCAACAAGGCTAAAAAAGAATGAATTTTGAACATTACCCAAATGAGAAAATATCAAAAGATCTTTGAAACCCAAATCTTTACTAGATTTTCTCTGCAATGGGAGAAAAGTTTCTAGAGAGAAAGGTAGTGTCTCAGATTAGTGTGTGTGTGTGGGGGGGGAGCGATGCAAATGTTGAAGAAGAGGCTCGTGGTTTGGTATTGGGATATGTGAGTGAAGGGTCAGGGCCTCAGGGGGGTATAGAGTAGGGGGTGTAGAGACAGGAAAGAGTCAAAGGCGGAAAATGTGAGCCGTTGATTGAAGAGAGAGAAAAGTTTTCCGTGTAATGCGGGTCAGTTGGTGAGCGTTGGATGAGAATAGAAGAGCACGCGTGATAGCTAAAAGTGGGCCTCACGAGGTTTGACAAAAATGGGCGCATCTTACCATATCCACTGCATTTTTATTTTATATTTTTATATCAATAATAAATATGCTTTGTTTTTCTCACCCTCAACCCCCTTCAATTTTTTATTTATTTTACTTTAGTTACCTATTGGGAATAGTGAAACAAGAGTCAAGCCTAGTGGTGTATTTGTTAATTTAATAATGTTAGTCCACCAATTTATTTTTATTTCAAAAACAATTACCCAATTATTGCTATGAAATTTTTCAAATCTTATTGACATTTTTTTGCATCTTGGTCTTTTTCATACTTGGAGCTTTCAAGTTTCAACCAAAGCAGAACGTCTTTTTCCTTTCCTTTTTTCATGTTTTACCTAATGTTGAGAATAAGAAAAGGAAAGGAAAGTGGAAAATTGTAATTCACATGAAATAGATTAAGGAAAGTAAATATAAATGAAAATAGCTCTCTTCTTTGCACACCGTTAATTTCTTTTTATGTCGTTAAAATTAAGTATTCTTGGTTATATTGTTGGGGAAAAGGCTAAGAATAACTTTAATATGTATAGCATATACTCCATGTG